GCCACCAGTGCATGACACTCACAAGTCTCATGTCAAAGACTCATGAAACAGAGCAAGCCCCAAACACACAAATATTTTCCCACAGCCCACAGCAATCAGCGACTTGTGGCAGCTAATTTGCCATGCTTCTCTGCAGGTCTTCATGAGTCCACGCTTCTCTGCAGATCTTCATGACAGCCCGTCCAAACAACACTGGATAAACCTGAGATTGGTGGAGCTCTTCCTTGCATCCAGTGAACTGAGAGCCACTCCTCACCACCAACTCAGCCTCACTTGCCATTCCAGTAGGCTTTGCACAATGCAGTGCTTCAAACCAGCTTGAGTTGGAATAGATGCTGAGTGGCTTCAGCGAAGATGCACCAAATGCTCCAAGGTAGGTGGAAAAGCGTGAAGCTCCAAAGAACTCAAGAACACCAGCCATGGAAGGAGCACAGGCCATGCATGAGCTTCCAGGCTGCTCAAGCACTGCCAACAGCTGAAGCGAACTCGCCAGAAAGTACAGGAGGGCGCTCGCCTCCATGAGGGCGTTGCCGCACATCACAAATCTTCTGGTTGTGTCGCCAAGCCATTGATTGGCAGCGGATCTCTGGGATTGGCACCTGCACAGCACCACAAAGCTGCTGCAAGGTGTGCCCAGCCACAACAGCCCTTTCCTCTTCAAAGATGTCACTGCATCAATGATCAGTCGCAGGCCATCTCCAGTCAGTGCATCGTGGAGAGAGCTGTGAACGTTGTCAAATCCACTTCCACGAAAGCCTCCCCTGATCATCTCACGTGTGAGGTTGCCAACACCACAGAAGACTTCTGCAAAGTCAAATGGTGATGTTCCCATTTGATTCCTCAACCCTCTCATGCAAAGGCTCACCAAGCAATGCGTCAAGTCTTTGCCAGCCAAACAAGGAAAGCACGTGTGAAGCACACCAGGCCATGTGTAAGAAGCTCTGCCTCCATTGACCCTGCTGTCAGTCCTCAAGAATCTTGTCACAAGGTCTTGGAAGTAGCAAATGTGCTCAGCTTCAGCTGGCTGAAAAGACCTGCAGGAACTTCACAGCTGCTTGCTTATTACTGTAAATAATTTATGTTTTAACAATCTCAACTTGACTTGAAACTATAAGGACACACCAATCACATCCACCCCATGGAGTTTGACTACACCACAACCTTGGAACAGCTGCCCAAGGGAGAAAGTCAGCAGCTGTCTTCTGGCAGCACTTGGAAGTCTCAATGTTCAGCTCCTTCTCCGGGTCAGTGATGGCAAAGGAATGGGAGGCCACAGGCTCAGGCTCAGGCTGAGATTGGGAAACACGCTGCTCTCTTCTCTTGAGGATCTTGACCCTCACAGCATTTGCTCTCCGTCTCCTGCTGTTCCTCTTGCGTTGCCTCTGCTGCTGCCTCAATGCCCACCATTGAAGCAGCAGAAGCTGTGGAAACCAACACTGCTGGATCATTGCTCCAATCCAACGGGTGAAACTTACCCTGATCAGTGAAACTTGCAATACATGTGTTGGCTTGATGTTAGCATTGAACTTGATTGGGGCATGTCCTGGAACAAGTTGGCTTGAACATTGGTGGTTGGTTGATTTGGCAGCATTTGATTGTTGTTTGCCTTGAACATGTGGACTTGGTGTGTGATTGATTGGTTTGACTTGAACATGTTGACTTGACATGTTGAGTTGAATGATATTTGACTGGCATCGCTTTGTATAGTGCTTGTTGCGCGTTGGTAGTTTCAGTGGACCTTTCTGAGACAGTGTTTGTTGCGCTGCTTGTTACATTTGTGCTTGGTATATGCAGAGACTGAAACTGATCCTGAGGGCTGTAATAATTACAACGCAAACAGCAGCAATTGTTCCATGATGTTCCATGTAATGTAGCACACAAACAGAAGCACAAGCAAGAAATAGCCAACTCACAACTGCATCACATCTTAAGGTTACAAATCCCAAGCTCAAGGAAAACTGCACTAGCTACTGCTTCAAGTCTCAAGGTCACAAATCTCAAGCAAGCCCCAAAAATCTGCACAGCTACTCAAGCCTCACCTCAGAGTCACAAATCCTAAGCCCAAGGAAAACTGCACTAGCTACAATCAATACACACTCCACAACAGATTGCAACTCACATCATGCACAAGGTTCGACTGGCTTGCATTTTTGCACACAGGCTAGCGGTGCCCATAGGCCTTCTTGGCCGGCATCTCAGCCACAGTCTTCCGAAGACCATCAATGAGAGATTGAGAAATCTCACCTGGAACCTGCTGCATTGCAACAGGCACTGCGAAGCCTGAGAAGCAAACACAACCAGCAGTTGGAAACAAGCTGAGCCCAAACAGTCAAGCTACAATGGTTGCACACCAAAACACTTTACAATAAAACTGGTGTCTAGGAGCCATCTTTGTCCTTGTACTTTTGCCACTTTGTCCAAGCATAGCGATGGCATTCCTTCAACGCCTCCACCCAGTCAACTTCCACATCCTTGCGAAATGACTTGGACATGGTCTTCTGGCCACAAGCAACTGCACTGGCCCACTTGCAAGTCCACCGATGGTCATTGCCTCAGCATCAACAAATTTGTGCAAGCTCCAAAAACATCAGTTGAAAAACGTGAAGAATTCTAGTGAGTCTAGCAATGCTCCCTGAGCAACAAACTCAAACAAATACTGAAACACTTTCAGTCAGGCTGCAGTTCAATGAAATTGAGCACCCTGGTGGAGAGATGTCTGACAAGGATCCAGGCGTCTTGTGCACATTGGGCCCCCTCTCACCACGCCTCCTGTCAGAAGCCTCTGATGGAGCTTGGCTGGCAGGCACCACATCTGCAACGCCAGGTTCCAGCTCAGCTGCTGAAGACGGCAAAGGCAAAGAAGGCATCACAACCACTGGAGGTGGCAAACAAGGTTCAACTGAAGGTGCTGCAGATGGCTCTTCAGCAGGCGGCAACGATGGTTCAACAACTGAAGGTGGCTCTGCAGACGCTGAAGGCAAAGACGATGCATCAGCAAGTTCAGGTCTGCTGGAAGAAGCTGCAGCAGCTGATGCAGATGGCACTGCTTCAGCAGAAAAGCTAAGCCGTCTTTTCACTTTCTGCTTGACATGCTTCTTGATCAACTTTGCCCTGGCTTTCATCTTGGCTTTTCCTTTAGCTTTGGCTTTGGCTTTGGCTTTGCGCTTGTTCTTTTCCTGGGATTGATTCATCATGTCAATGATTGAAATTGAGCACATGGTGAAACAACAACAAACACTGAAACCAGATGTTGTATAAGTAATGCAAGTTTCATCTTCTGCCTCAGCACGCCAATCCTTCCATTGCTTGATCTTCTGGTTCTTGGCTTTCTGAGTCACCTTTTGCTTCAGCTCTGCAAACTCTTGGAGGTCGTCTTGGTCCATCATCTCAAGCACAGCTTCCGCTAGCTCATCATCTGCATCACATTCATCATCGGGCACCTTCTTTTTTTCCTCAATCCGTCTCTTGATTTCCTCCACAAAGTCATCATCACCCACCTTCGATGCCAAAGCTTGCAGAAGCTGGTCCTTGTTCAGTGAATCAACGTCCACATCAAGCTCAAGCTCACCCAAGATAGCCAACTCCCGGAATGTCAGCCTTTGCCCATGCTCACGGAGTGTGCACTTGATGACCTTCTCCCACCCATGCACTGACAAGACCAGACCAACATCACTTGCCAAAACTGGCATCAAAGACGTGGCAACATAGATTGAATGATCCAAGATGAACTTCCACCTGGGGACATTCCAAAGACCAATGAACATTATATTTTATCTTATTTCAATCGGTGTATATACAATAAAAACCATTTGCAAATGACCAACAAACTTGGAAAGGACTGCACCCAAGCAAAGCCAGGAATCAGAAGCTGTCCGTTTTTCTTCAAAGACAAAGTGAAATCATCGGACTGGATCAAGGGCCAAACCAGAAGTCCCCACTTCAGGTTGGCCACAACAAGGAAGGCAGGCCCATTGCCATATGAACTTGTGGAAGAAGCCTCTGAACCAATCCGGAAGGCCATGCCAGGCTGGAATGCAACACACCTCTTGGCATCCTTACTTAGATGGTCAGCTTCAGGCTTGGCTTTAATGTAACATACAACAAAAACAGACACATACAGTGACAGGTTCAGAGAACAAAGCAACCAAGGCAAGCAACATTGACTAGAAAAGCATCCTTTCAATCATGGCATGCATCTTTGAGTTTAATGTTCTGTCCATTCATTTTCTCACTCACATAGTGTCTCAACCATGCCCAGCATGCGCTTGAACGTGACAGGCACTCCTCAGACATTGAAGGCCATTTTTTGCTACCAAGGATGTCAGCCAACACCTTTGGCAACTTCTCTGAAGCAGCCAGAAACTGTTGCTTGCTATCACTTGGCTTTGTTGATGCCCATCGTGACAGCATTGCTTTCTTGTCCAAAGCAGCTGGGTGCAATATCCCACGACTCTCAAATGTCTGAGAGGTTTCCACAAGGGATTGGAT